ATGGTGGAAGCAGGAAAGCTGCCAGAGCCTCACTTCCAGCTGCTTGTGATTCACTGTGGTCCTTTGCCCTCCTCAGTCCCACCTGTCACTCCTCATCTTTGGCATAACTAGCATTTTCTGCCTCTGACACATCAGATCATCATTCCCTGTCCTTTTGTTTCCCTCACTCCTAACTTTTGCTATGCATCTTTTTCCTTTTCCAGCTCTCCCACCCTTGCAGTGTGCATTGGTATCCCTCATTCTGGCCTCCATGTCCCACTCTCTGCTCTGCTCCCTGACAACTTCAAGGCTGTGACTTATGCTCCAGATGGTATGAGGGGAATTGTGCCCCTGGCCCCACACTTCACGCTGCCCCTCCTCAGGTGCTGGCCCAGGAGGGAGGATGCAGCTCTGCAGGTTCTTTGCCCATGTTAGCTCTCCACACCCCACAGCTGCAGGGCCCTACTTTTACCCACAAGGGTGTTAGTGTTGCATTAGATGTTGCAGGAGGTGACAGCCAGGGCTGAGTTGAAAAGTGTGATGGAAGCACACTCCAGAAGCTGCACAGTTCCCCTTTTCTACTCTATTTGTTTACAAATAACTTTTGAGCACCTATATACTGTGCACATGATATATAATAAACATTGCAAATAAATCCTTGTGCTCATTGCCTGTCTCAAGACTCTTTCATCTTCTTTAGGAGCTAAAACAATTAAACAGCCTCAAAACAGCAAAGTACCCATGCAGCAAAGCAGGCTGACTGGAAGTGAGTGAAGGTCAGCTATGCCAGGGAAAAGAAGATTAAGTGATGCAACTGGAAAGCCTTCACACACTGTACACTGTACATATGCACACACTGCTCCCTGGTTTAGGTCTGAAGCCTGGGAGGCAGTGGAGCCTCTCTGCCTGTTGGTAGCAGGAAATGGCCTTTAAGCCCTCACAGCAGACAAGTGTCTCAAAGCTGCAGCTGTGCACACATCTGGATGTTTTGTTTCTGCACCAAACTATTAACTGTAAGCTTAACAGGAGCACAACTCTGTGCCAAGATAGAAACCCAACCTGAGCGAAGGGCAGAGGATGGAAACTCCCCCAACCACCAGTGCCAGGGAATTAATTAAGGCAGCCACAAGTAAAACATTGTGGATGGTGGATGCATTTTCCATGTTTATCACACCACCATGGGCAAGAGCCTTTCTTTGTCTTTAACGAAAACATTAAAAAGGTTCCAAAAAACCAAAGCAGACCTCTTATTAATGCGGATCAGAAGTTACAGACAGACCACACTGATATCTGAAAACTTTCCAGGGACTTCAACTCCACTGTTCCGTTTTCCCTACCACTTTAACATACAAATACTGGAAAGGCTGTATGCCTTTCTGAGTGCCCCACCCCTAACAACGGCCCTCTGGCAGCGCTCAGCAGAACGGAACCTGGCACTCTCCGCGCTGACCGCGCAGGAAAGGGCTCGAGAGAACCATCAGTGATCCCAGGATACCAACCCCCAGCAGGGGATAGCCGCCTGGCAGGACAGCGCAGCACACACACAGCACAAAGGGAGCAGCACACACGGCACAGCAGCTGGAACCCGCCTGTGGTGGGGCACATCCTCCCCTGCACATGCACCATGAAGGTCTCCTTCAGCCTATTAGTAACACTCCCTGTTCCTGGAATGCGTTGCACAACAAACTTGTTTTCTAATTAATAGCCTTGGAAATTTGTTTTTGTCTGAATCACAGCTGGAGTGAAATAATAATCATTACTGGACTTTTGAGGAAAATTACTGACCTCGATTGAGTCCAGGATGGAATCTGATGGAAGACTAAAGCCGAACATCTCACAACCCTATGAGCAGGGGTCCCACAGGCAGCCCTTTGAGGTCCCATGCCCCCAGGGGCTGTGCCAGCATGTCCCTCGGAGCAGGATGTGCCTCTTGGTGCTCATCAACCCACAGGTTTGGGACTCAAAGGAGCTTCGTCAAAAACTGACAGTGGGACCTGGGCTGGTACCCCTTCCTCGAGGCTGAAGCCTTTGCTGACTGAGAGATGCAAAGGCATCCCAGGTGTGCATTTCACTGAACTCTGGGGGAGCTTTAAACAGGGGCTTTGCAATATGCACACACACACAGAGGAGTATTTGAACGTATACATGACTGTGTCTGTGTGCAGGTGTGAAAACTGACTTCAACACTTTATAGCAAGTGTAGCATCAATGCTGCCATCTTAGATTCAAAATTTAGTTACTGTTGTGGTTATGGTAAATCTTACAGAATCAGTTAAATCAGTCAATGATTAAGTGCTGCCAAATCCTTTAGACATAAAGGACTGAGCAATTCCAAGGGTAGGTTTGGCAAGGGGTCCGTTGTGAAATTTGTGACTGTGGAGGGTCTCCCTTCCCCTTCTGCATCCTTACATTCTCTGTCCTCACCCTTTTGCATCCCCAGTCTCTGTTGTGTGTCACTCCAGATTGATTCTAGTCCAGTTCTCCTTTGTGTGCTTTATCTATGTGGTAACAGAACAAGTTGCTTCTTGCCAGAGAACTTAGTCATGCTTTCAAAATTTGTTATAAAATTGCTTTTGTTGATACCTTTGAAAGTGCTTTTTTACATGACTTTGACCACCCAGTCACAATACAGGTGTCCCTGCATTCCAGGAAATGTGCAAGGGCAGAGCACTAAGGCTCCTGTTCCTGGAAGGCGGTTGTCCACATCGAATACTGGGATGTGGTGTGGGGTGGTTTTTTTTTTTTTTGTTGTTTTGTGATTTTTTTTTTTTTCCCTCTCCCATGGAAAAGGCAATATTCCCCTGTGGGATTCCCCTCCAAAGCTGATGGAGGCTGCAGTCACTGCAGCCCACAGCACCCTGAAAATAAATGTTTTGGAAATACCCCAAAAATGCTACCTTGGCAAAGCTTACTCTGAGAGGGAAAAACACTTCCTTGCAAATAGGACTTGACAGACTACTGGAATACCCTCCTAGTAGCCATTTCATGTCATTTTTAAACTTAGAATAGAAATAAAAATGTCAAACAGCTTCCCAAACCAATGATTTGTACAAGTTACATGACATCCAGGGACACATTTAAATCCAAGCCAGCATGCATTCAGTCTCTAAACAAACACAGCTTGCATCCCCTTCCAAGCGAGTGTGGTGGCATCTGGAATTCGGGCAATGTAAGAGACCAGCCTTAACCAATACAAAACACCACCACACGGAGAAGAGCCTGTTTTAGATGCATCTTGGTCTATGCAGCCTTCAATTCACCTACCTGTGAAGACTTTAGGATTATGTACTTCATCACCTGCCAAAGCGTATGATTTTGATACACATATAAAGCACCCAGGACGTGTACACAAACTGATTTTGTGTTAGAAAATACAGTTATAATTAAAGGCAGATGCAGAAATTTCTGGAACAAAACTGTCAGGAAAATACATTAAAACCAAAGAAAATCAACTGAACAACAGTCTCGAAAATGCTTTATTGAACCGTGTGTCTTACTGTAATGTGCAGAAGATGTGTTTGAAAAACTACAGCTTGAAAAATTTTTGAAAGTCTTCAACAATCAATAAAAAAAGTCCCCTGCTGGGGGTAACTCTCAGGGTAACCAGAGGCTGCATGTATATTTTTCTGTTGCAGAGACTAAAAAAAAATTTAAAAAACCCAACCAAAGCTAATGCTGCTCTACATGAAAACAATCAAGATTTGATGATTAAAAAAAAAAGAGAGGAAGGAACTTAAACTCAGTCTATAGGGATGCTTTTTTTCCTGCTGTTATTTTGGATTAGCATACATGTCACAGTTCTGCTGAGAACACCACATGGTGTCTAAGTCATTACGTTTACTCTACAATGCTGCTGAGATGAGAGGATACAGAGAAAGAGAGAGGGGGTGAAGTGAGAGATCTGGAAAGACATCATTATGATATAAGCCTAGTTTAAATTTTCATCAGAAGCTGTGTGCACTTTTGTTTTTATAATCCAACTTTTCATTCAAAAAAACACACCAAAAAAACCCAACCAACCAACCAACCAAAAAAAAATCCCCAATCAACAGCAAAAAAAACCCAAACAAACAAACCACCCCCCCTGCCCCCAGAAAAAAAAAAAAGAAAGAAAGGAAACCAAGACCAAACATACCCCTTCTGTCCCTGCTTTTGGACTATTATAAATTTCTATGCACAAGAAAACCATACTTTTTTCCAAACCAGTAGGATTAACAGTATAGGCATGTAGGTGGCATGATTCAACTAAAAGGCTTTTTTTTCCCCAACTTTTTTTATGCCAGCAAAAATAACCAAAGGAAACAATAAATAAAAGGTGCTAAAGTTAGCATTAAGAATTTCTTGTAATATACTGACAGTCTGGGAATCCAAATCCTCAAGCTCTCCTGATACTGCCAGGTCTCTGCAAACTATGAAGCAAATACATAAATAACTCAAAATATGATTGAGGCTGTGAAAGGCTTTTAAACTAAGACAATAGGATCCAGGCTAACTTTTTTTTTTAAGAAACACAGTGAATATATGAATTGTCTACACCTGAATAAAACATATTTAACAATTAAAAAATTTTAACAACCACAACAAAGAAAAACTTTAAACGAAAGTGAACATCATTTGATTTTAGGGCACACAAAAGCCCCTTGCAGTAGCTTCCAGCAGTGGCCTTACTGTTGTGTCTCCTACAGATGCATAAAATGAAGTTTAACTCCACATTGAGGTGACAGCTGAGAGGGCAACATAAGGGTCGCATTCAGCAAAACGCCACACCCCGGTCACGACAATGTATCCCACTGCAGAGTTTCCATCCTGTGCAGGAACAGCACATGAAGATGTCATTCTGTCACATATTATTAAAAAGCTAGTTTGCGGCCACAAACTGCTACTCAGAGCTAACCTTTTTCATCACATAACCTTGGAATAATGGGAAAGCTTTGTGTTTTATAGTTTACTCCTTGTATTTAAATTTTTAAATGACAAGGTCACTAAAACTCATGCACGCTGCAAAAAACGTCATGCAGTAGTTAAGGTAAACCATCCAAGCAGTTTTTATTCATTAATATTCATAAATACACACAGCAGCTTCATTAGAGATTTTTCTTTTTTTTTTCCTCTTCAGTTTGAATGTGGAGTATTAGGAGAGCCTTTTGCATGTCAAGGTACAGGACACAGAGCCCTTGGCTCTGCACTGCAACCTACATTTACCTGCTAGAAGTAAAAATTAGTTAAGTGGAAATGATTATCATATATATCTTTTCTCTCTTTCTTTTGAATGTACACAATGTAACAAGAGTGACAGACCTGAAATTACAATCACCAAAACAAACCCAAGATAGTTGTTGTCCACTTTCATTGGCAAATACAGCACAGAGGACATTGTCTGCAAAGTGGGATGTCATCAAAGAGGAGGTGGAGGAGGCTCATTTCCTTTATTACTCTCTTTTAAATTTAGGTTTTCTAAAGCAACATCTAGAGGCATAATATCTACACAGCCCATAGCACCAAAATCTGCAATCTCCCCCCGCTCATCCTCATCTGAGGAGGAACTTTCTTCCTGCATCAAGGTGGACAATAGAAGCTCCTGAACAAACAGGCTGCAGTCTGCCCGTTCGCTCTCCATTGACTGACGCTCTGCTTCTGACATCTTCGGATCATTCAACCTGGGCAGCAGCAAGGGAAGAGAAGACAGAGAGTTGCTGAAAGCCCCTTTCACTGGTGACACCAGGGACAGGCTGAGATGTGCTCAGAAACTGCTCCTTCAGGACAGTCCTACCTGCCCATCAACACGCCCAGCACTTCAGTACAACAGGCATGCCTTCAAGAACCCACCCCTTCTCTGCTGCTGTGACAGCATTCTCAGGGGAGCCCAAAGTTAAAGGAACATCAAAAACTGTTCGTGAGGTTTCCTGCTATTTAAGGAGTCTTTTAGGGAGGGCTGGTGCCATTTCCTGGACATGCAATTATATGCCTCCACATCAACTTGTAAGTTCACAGTGGCTACAAAACACATCACTGCACTGTGTAAAGCCTACTATGCATGGACTACTGAACGTAATTTCACTTCTCCTAAGGTACACGGCATGCCCTGATGAAGGCAAGGAAACTGCTCACTCCAGCTCTGAAAGTCACAATCTGTGACATTTGCAGATGCTTAAATTAAGGTTCTCAAGTGAACTTCTGATTCAAAGATGTCACATGGCATTATTGTGAACTTACATAAAAATCCATTTGATTCAAATTCAGGCACAGGAGCTGTTAAAATTACCACACTCTTCCACAATCCCAGACAAACAAAAGTATGCTTGCAGAGGGTGTGGCAGGGGAGATGTGGAAAATATTTTTATTTCAGGTCAGTGGTCAGTGCTCTAGAAGAACTGGGATGACACAGGAAGTGAATCCTCTTTTAAATAATCCTGGGGTCTAAGTATAATTTCTAAACTACGTAAATATTCTGTTAATTAATGCCATCCTAGGCATGTGCCTGACTCCAAACATAAGCTTCATCGAGCTCTGTATCTCTACTAGTAGTAACGTAAACAGAAATTATAAGAGGTAAATACAAGTAAATACACAGAACGAATTACCTTGTCAGAAGGAACTGGGAATTCTGGATAGTCTGCTGACTGTTTTCTGTGTTAGATGTGTTGGTGGTTGTTGTAGATTGTGTCATAGTGGTGTTGACATTGATCGTGTTGGTGCGTCTGGTTGCATTGCGTGCAGTCTCCAGTTGCTGTCTCGCTGCCTGTGCATGTTGTCGTTCCAACTGCAGTTGCATCTGCAGCTGCTGTAACTGAGAAGCAGAAGGGCCGGAGGAGTTGAGCTGTCCTCCTGCAGAACGCCTCACACCTGATAGCTGGGATAAAAGCTCTGCCAAAGAAGAGAAAGCTTCTATGACTTAAGATCTTAAATGAGCATTACACAGCAGAATAAATACACCCCGAATTCCAGTGCATAAATTCCATTCTTCTCAACTAACATCAAAACCCAACAACGCTCAGAGAAGACTGTGAAGATTAATGCCCATAAAAGAGTAAAACTAATTTATGCGGATGTAGTCCAAATGACAAGACAAGGTTTACAGTCTTGACAACAACAGTAGAGCCAATCTTTTGCCAGGTAGAGCCTGGCAAAAGACAGCTCTCTGCAGCCACCCTCTGAAACTTTAAGCCAAAATAGCCAGTGACTAAGAAACTTTTTTATTTTGGCTTTGAATGGTGACTTTTTTTTTTCCTTTTAATAAGTGTTCGCTCAAAACACAAGCTTCATCTTCCCAATTATCTCAGAGGCAAGCTGTGCTGCAGCAAATTCAATGATGGAAATTTAGTTAAGAAAATATATTCAATCACTGCTTGACAGCAAAAGCATTCTGTATGAATTCTTATTTCTGGCAGAAGGATGCAGAAGGCCTAGAAACTAAAAACTCTCTCTGTTATTAAGTTTTCCAATTCAGAAGGATGGAATGCTCCTTGCAAATTTTATCCACCAAGTTTTTTTTAAAATAAATATTAGCAGCCAGTTACTGCACAGTTACTGCACAAAGCTAAGGTACACTGTAGCAGGATTTCTTCTATGCCCTGTGCAGAAGGTACTTCTGATCTCAGATACCTGCTGCAGTTGATGCAATGGTAGAGGAAACATGGGACAATCCTGCTCCTGTCCCTCTGCTCTACATTACAAACTTACTATATAGGTCGTGACAATTTTTCTTCCATTGAATTAACAAAATGTAATCATACTAAAACAAGCTGGTTTTTAAGGAACAAAGCAAAATACAAACTAGAGAGGTGGAGTAATTTTCAACAACACTGATAGCAGCACCAAAATAAAGTAAATTTTTATTACTAGAGAATGCCACAGGGAGGAAAAAATGTTTAAGAAAAGTAACTGATGCTACAAATTTAAATAGAAAAATCACTGTGGTCTTCCCTATTTATTACTCCAGTAAAAAGGCAGACATATTAAAACTCACAGGCAAGATTAAGATATATTTATTCTCACTGTAATCTAAAGCTTGGAAAATAGGGAAGCAGTATTTTGGAAAGAGGTGTGAACTCAAAACAGTCCAGGAACAAGATGGACACACAGCTCAGTGTGCTCTAAATGCAGAAACACGTATTCCACCAAAAAAGAATAGATGCAGAAGAATGACATTTTATCCTACATTTAATGCTGCTAAGTGGGAAGGTCCAGCAAGGCTGAAAACAAACTTCAGCAGTCACCTCAAATTTTAAATGAACTGAAGCGGCTGACCTGGTGAAAGAAAGAGAATGTCTTGCACTGGAAGCTTCAAGAACATCCTCTCTCTTTGAACAAACTCACCTGTGACCTCACTTAACTTATTTTTTTCTCTTGATGGGCTACTTCTTCACAGCTAATTTAATGAGTTACATCAGGGCACACCAGGCCAGCAGAGAACCAGAGCCAGCAGAAGGCAGGCAGAGGGGACCATGATTAAGGGAGGCAGTGGATCCACACTCCCCTTCCAGAGGAAATGCCTCATTAAGCCAGGTGGCTGGCTACCTCCCCCTGAAGAAGTCACAGCCTAATAGTAGCAAGCTCCAGTTTGAGCACTGTGTCTCCTTTGCATCTGAAGCAAAGGTGGATTTGGGGCAGACATTCTGACGTTTCCCTAACATGTTGGTATGGTCAAAGACCATGGCATTAAAATGTTTATATTTCCCCATAGATGAAACTGTATTTGTTTTCAGAGTTGTCTTTACCCTCTCTATTTTTTCTTCATTGTAAAAAAAAAAGTTTTTTTCACATCAGAGATAAAAATAGAAGAAACAAGTTATTTCTGGGAATCCTAAAGACACGGCCTAATTATTTTCTGATGCTGACAGTAAGAACACTCTTTCCCTCTTCACCCGCTCTGTGGGATGCTGTGCCTGTATGTGCAGCTTCACAGCAACACAGAGCAGGGCAACTACTGCCTGCCACCTTGCATTCTCCTTCCCCTGCGGAAGGGGGACAGTGGAGTAAAACTTGTGGTTACAGCTCTTACCAGCTATAGGATCCATGGCTTCTCTATTGCTTGGAGAATACGAACTCTGAGAAGACGAAAGCCCACCAGGGGAACTGGTAGTAAAGTGCATGTTTGATCTACGAGCACGGGGGCCTCCCAAACCCCGGCCTGGGTGGAACATCCTACGTACATGCCGAACGCCACTGGATTCATCGTGGACAAGAAGTTAAGAAAACAGAACTGTTTGGCATTGAGTGTTAAACAACCACTAAAGGACATTTGATGGGTCAAATACTCAGGTATACTGTTCTTGATTCATAAAGTAATGATTCAACTTCAGAAGCAAAGCTAGGGTACACTGTAGCTCTGCTACAGGTCAGACTTACTGATCTGGTAATTTTGTTTTAATCAAACTTTTCTATGAAAACCCACATAAATCCGTGTTCAGCCAAGCTTACTGCTGAGACAGGGACTTCAGTTCTCCCTTCCCAATTCTTACATTAAGTATCAAAACCAATAAAAACATTTACTACAACTCCTATCAGAATAATTACCCAATTCCTTTTGACTTCTGTACTTGATGCATTTATCCAAGAAATTTCAGTCTTTAGGAAACTGTAGGTTTCTGGAGTATTCAGCACATTCATCACTTCCCTTTGTTTCACCTTTCTTCTTACAGCCAAAGAAATATCACTAATTCCAGTATCATAATGATGCTTTTCATTTTGTCTTTTTCCCCCCACTTCCCCCAATCACATGCTTGCATTTTCTGTCACTTTTTAAATATGTTCTCATATAAATTTTTAAGTAATTAACAAACTTAAATAAAGGTTATTTTTGTCATAAATTTGTTAACATTCATCCTCCAAGACAGTCCAGATAAGTCTTCTTCCTAAAAATCATTAGTATTACTCACTGGTGTAAAATGAAATAGCATAGACTTTAGTATTTTATTTTAGTGTTATTATAATTTAGCTTACATCTCCATCTCCTACGTTTTTTATCACAGTATGGTTACCAGGTTACCACTCATATGGTATCAATTTCTGTGTAAGGGTAGCATCCAATGTATTTTTCATAAATCACAGTTATGGAGCAGAACCTCATCCTATCATGGGAGGTCATGAAAGGAATGACTTGACTTCCCATGCAAGAGAGAGCTTCTGGCCATTACAAGAAGACTTTACAGAATGTTTCCTTCTTTCAAAACTGTTAGTTATGCTACAGTGTAAAACTTAACATCTAGGGTGTAAAAGAAAAGCCTCCCCAGCACAGAACACACTTTGCTAGGTACAGAGCATCTTGCACCTCTGAGTGTGCCAATTTTGGGTGCTGCTGGAGTTGCTAAATTGGATGGACTAAAGACCCCATGTAGTTTTGCAAGCTTTTCATAACTAAACATGTTAAAACAGGACAGTATCTGGGGATTTTTCAAGCAGACACAGGACTCTGGGGTAACTTTCCCAACCACAGCTTTTAAAGTGTTTTGAGATGTCATTCTTCAAATAACAGCTAAACATGCACTTGAGTCTTACCAGCTATGCTAGAGTAAGAAAAGACTTTGCAAACATTATCTTGTGACAAAACATTTAAACTGAATAGTCATGTGAGAACTATTTGTATGATTAATGCTGAAAAGATGTATTTAATGAATTTTCAGGTATTTTCCTGCTGAAGAAAGAAACTGAGTTCTAAAGAGTTGCCTACAGACTGTAGGAATAAATGACACACCTTGCAATAGCTGCACAAGGTTTGTAGTAAAAAACACATGCAGTGTTTTGGGACAATTTCAGGGAAAAAGAACAAAAACCAAAATTAACCAAACATGTCTAATTAATAGCTGGTGGATAAGGCCACCTCTCAGAACTGTAGTAAATCCAACAGTAAAGTCTTACCTCAAATTGCAAAATAAATTTTTACTCTAGAAGAAGTACAAGTCAAGAGCCTTCTCTATCTCCTTTTTGTACATGAAGGCAGTTACAGAGCACGAAGAATTGTTCTGTACAGCTTCAACTTCATATTCAGCAATATAATGGTGCATCAGAGAGTCATGGTTCTTATTTCCTACACTTGCAGAACCTGAGTGAAAAAGGGCATCTTCTCTTCCTTATTTCCTGCCTTAGATCTCCCTGCTGCTGGATATGAAGTAGAATCCAATGTCAAATAGTCACTTCAAGATACTTCTTACCACGTTTTGGAAATTTGACAACACTGGATGCCAACACAATAGAGTACAAGCAGGAAATTCTACAGGTACAATTTTTAATCATGGGCAACGTATTCCCAAAACAGATCCATTTTGGGATGACTGATACTGAAAACCTGACTCTGTATTTGAAAAAAGATTGTCTTTTCTGGCTCAAAAATTCCCTAAGTAAAAGTCATCTGGTGGCATTTTTGGTACTAGGGGGGAGAAAATGCAGCAATAGCCTGAATTCTAATTAAGTATCTTGTACATTTCAGTAGGAAATTAATTTCATTCTGTAGCTAGGAAAATTTAAACTTCCTGCCTTACAGTTAAGACAGTGTTGGAAGCCCACAGTTAGAACTCTGGCACACTGCTATGTAGTTATGTAATTCTTGTTAGAAAAAGCCTAATTAGGCAGGTGCTATGAAAACCGCATAGCTGGTACAATGAGCAGAACTCAAAATGACACAAACTACATCAGTCATCAAGCAACATTCCAAGGCTGTCCAAAGGCCAGGAAAGATCCAGTGGTCTGGAAAATATTTTCCCCTCATCAATCTTATCCTACCTCCTCTGGAAAGGGAGGATGGCATGTCTCCTGGCTACTAAGGACCACAGGGATGCCTGGGATCAAGCTCCCACAGCCAGAGCCACCGTGTTCAGCACCCTGCTCCTCCACAGTGCTGAGAGCTCTATTCCTCTCCCTCAGAAAGGCAAGTACAGGTAACTGCTTTCATCTGACTTTGTACCCACTTTTGTAGCACTTTTTCATCATTCACCTTTCACAGAGCCAATCTACACCCAAACTCCTTGATACTGATCCAATTATTGCACAGTAACTAACCTGCACATTTAGTCTGTCCTGACCTTAAACCATGCTAATACTAACAAACGCAATCAAATACAATCATAACTGAAGTGGAGCCATCACCTCAAATGCTGTTGTCCTTCTATTACTGTAATTAACTCTGTTTGATAGGGCTTGGATTTTTTTTTCCCCCAACTGCCTGAGCTTACATTATTCTTTGTTCCTTTTTAAAAATCTTGAACAAAAAAGCCGTTATCAAATTTATAATGCAGTCTTTTTTTTCTGTTTGTTTAAATGAGACACAAATGAATAGTTCAGAGATTACTTACTGTAGGGATGCTACATAGCTTGCATGTCATTAAATAAAAGCCCAAACCAAAAGATATTTTATCAGTTAATCTGAGGGAGTAAAAAAATTTAAAAGGAGACAAATATTCCTATAACACTGATGAAAGAATTCCAACAGTTACAGCTCTTCAGCCATCAAGCAGAGATAAATGTCTGTAACTGGCTGCTAAGGTAACTGAAGGACAACATCCTATTTCCCAGAAAATCTGAAGGTTTTCTGAGTTGTATTACAAAATGTCAGTAGCACTACAAAACTAAATTATGAAAACATTGTGTTGAAAGTAGTTAAACAACTTTACAATCTTTTGCTACAAGCAGCTGCGCTAGAATCACCTTTATGTCCTAAATATATACAGCACTGAATCTTGATAGGTAAAACAGCACCAAGAGTAATCATGAGGTAGGATGAAACACAGTGCAAGTAGAAAAAACCTCTGTATGTCAAAATCCTTTATATGTTTGTGCTGTTAGAGTAAAAACACTCACAAGTATACCTACAAGTCTGTGCACAGTCTGTCTTTTTTAAACTAGGAGACAAATCTTTTTATTTTTGATATACATGTCTTTAGCAACCTAAGTTCCAGGCAATCCAGAATATGACCCTTTGACTATAAAAATCAAACCAAGTCACTGTGACTATGAGGTGAAACAGTCTAGCCTCTTTGCCTCAAATTGGAAAGGATATTAAATCTCTAGGAGCTCTGTGTTCCAGTGTAAGATGAGCTGCAAAGTCATCTGTTACGTGATTCGGATCCCCTCCAGGCAATGCTGCACATATTGGACAAATCTGAAATGACAAAGCAAGGAAAAAACCCAACTTTATGAATATTACAAGAAGCAGAATTTTTATCAAGTCAATCATTAGACATTACCTCTTATGCTTTAAAATAACATTTTGGTATTCATAAACACCTGGATATCAATGTATTCAATAAACTCAGAAAAATTACAGAAGTGTAGACATTAATTTAGTAATCTTTCACTTTATGAATTTCAGAATATTATGAATTTCAGAAAACCAGAGTTAGGATTCTCAAAATCAATTTGCAATGTCTTGAAAGTTAGTATTTTTGCATGCCAATTCTGCCACAGACAGTAGAGTTGAATCACAGAGGAATGCTATTTGCCTGCCTGACACTCATCCCAGCAGAGGAATCAGAATGAAACTGCCCTTATTTCCTAAGTATCAAGCTGAGACCATCCCACTCAGGCAGTGTAGGTTTGGCAAAGAAAGGCTGGTCTCCATACTCCTCTCCACAACAGTATTTTCTGAGCAGGTACTGAGATTTCTCTTTGGTTTTGGGGTTTTTTTTCCCCCACTTCAGAGCTTTTGGTTGGCAGGTTTTGTTTGTTTTGTTTTTTGAACTGAAATACAGTTAAATAAGCAGGCAAACATCACCACTACTATTTCCATAATTATGACTTGTTCTTTCAATGACTCCACAAACAGCATCATCTTCCATTTTTCTTTCATTTTTCATGTGTATACTTAAGCTGTTGAGTGTAGGTCTCAAAAGACCATGAGCATTAAGAACACCTGTATAAAAGAGCACACATCTATTGTACTCTCATGGAGGTGAGAACAAGGTCTTGAAATAAATTTACTATAAAATCTCAGCTTTCAATAGGAACTGCTGCATCTAATTCCACTTCCATTTTAGTGGCCAGTTCTGAAAAGAAAACCAGACATTTTAAAAGCTTTTTGCTACAACTCCTCCCCTTTTATTTTCAATGTTCAGCATTTCTCTCCACAGATTTTTCACCACTACAGATGCCAAGCAAGTGCACTACAGGACATATCTTAGCATAGCATAATATAATAAATACTCAGCTATGCCAACATATCAAAGCTACCATGTAGAAATGGATGTGTATTGGACAGATAGTTATGAATTCCCTAAACTTCATTACAGCTGCTTAATCTTCTCATATCAAAAGAATGCAAGACCTTCAAAGCAATCTTCTTTTATTTAAGCTACTCTGAGGAAGCAGAAACCCAACACAAGAAGAACAACCCACTCCAGAAAGCAGGAAATCACCAGAAATTTCTTTGTTAACATGACAAAGATTTGTGAATATACTCAGACCTCAGAAAAACATCAGTTAAGAAACTGATTATAATGAATTGGTTATAATGAACTGGTTATAATGAATATTGAGTAAGAAGGAATCAAAGAATCCCAATCCTAATTCTAAATATCAACTAAACTTTCAAGAACTCCTGACTAGGGAAAGTTACTTAAATACTGTTATGCACGAACAACAATTTAGTTAAGCATAAGCTCTGACAGAGCCACAACAAAGACTGCTAGATCACTGATTAAGCATGACACAGCTAAAAGTCACTGTTAATTACAACATGCATGAACGAATGGTGCAGACAAAAGGCAAATGTTGTCAGAATTTTCTCTTGAATTTATGAGCATTTGTATTAAGAAATCATCATGCAACCCTGAATGATGACTCTAAAGGCCTAAGTCAATCCCCCCAACAGAACAGTGCCAGTTTCCAGAACTCTGCTTGTATTAGCTATACTTCCCCATTTACATACAAAGTAACCACTTTAGGTGACAACACTTCTGTAACTTCAACAGGAATCACTGGGATCTTAGAGGATGAACAGGGACATTGAGACTGACTCAGATTGTCCATTTCATTACTGCAAGAAAAAGCTCTCTCCAGTTTAACCACTGAAGTATCAACAACAGAGTGCTTACAATTCATCTACAAGGAGCCTAGTAATGCCTTCCCGATGGTGAGAAAGCCGCTGCAGTGCGAAGTAATAGCAGAAAATTAGCATCTCTGTTATGAAAGAAGACTGAAGAGATGGCATTTTATGAAGTCTACTAAATCTGTTTTTATTTACAATGCTAGCAGACTTCTAGTTGAGCACTGCATTTCATCTTGACCAGTCCAACTAACCTGAAACTTCTAACACCAACAAAAACAATCATCATACTGATTTCCAGATTCCTCTGCCTTACAACTCTAAACCATTGTCCCTAGACATTATATGGGTGAAGAAATACTGGTTCTATAGAAGAGAAGAAGGCTGGCTCTTTGAACAGGGAAGACAGAGCTGCACCCCAGCTGCTGTCTCACTTTGTCCTTTAAGTGAGAGAGCAGCTGGAGTACATTAAAAGCACTTTCTAGATGGAAGATGACCTACCTGATGGAGATCTTATGTGTTGGAATTAAGAAGAGAACATGCAAAGGGGATGTTATAGGGCATGTCTACTATAGGCCACCATGAGGAACAAACAGATCAGGCCCTCTAGAGACACAGAGCAGCTGCCTCACACTTGCAGGACCTGATCCTTGTGGAGGTCTTCAACCACTCCAGTATCTGTTGGAAGGACATCACAGCACGACTGCAATCCAAGAAGCTCCTGGAGTGCTTTCAAGGTAACTCCCTCCTCCAAGTGACAAAGGAGCACACAAGGACACAAGGAGAGGTGCTATAGGGGACTTCATAATTACCAACAAGAGGGGCTCAGTTGGGATGTGAGGGTCAAAGAAAGCCTTGGCTGCACTAACCTTAACATGGTGCAGTTTGAGATCCTTAGGGCAGGGAGAAGATCAAAAACAAGCTCGTGACCCTGGGCCTCAGCAAAGCAAACTTTGGCCTCTTAAAATATCTGCTCGGAGGAGTCCCATGGTGTATGAACCAGGAGAGTAAATGAGCCCAAGAAAGCCTGTTAATATTGAAAGATCATTCCCTCCCAAACTCAAGAGCTCTCCATCCCACTGAAGATGAAGTTAGGCAAAAATGCCAGGAAGCCTACGTGGATGATCAAGATACTCCTAGACAAATTCAAACACAAAAAGAAAACATACAGAAGTCACAGCACCAGGGTAAGCCACAGCACAACCCACCATTAAGCATTACCTGAGCATCACAGGGCAATGTAAGAAAAGCTAAAGCCCAAATGGAACTGAATCAGGCAAGTAACATCCAAGGTAACAAGAAGATCTTCTAGAAGTGCTTAGGAAATAAAAAGATAACTAGGGAAAATGTGGGCCCATTGCTCAAAAGACATGAGGCCTAGTTACACAGGACACAGAAGAGGTTGAAGTACTGAATAACTCCTTTGCTATGGTCTTTACTGGCAAGACTGGTCTTTAGCAACTCCAGGCCCCAGAGAGCAGGGGTAAAGTCTGAAGTACTAAAGACATTCCCCTACTGGAAGAGGATTACTCTGCAGAATACTTATGTGAACTGGAATACTTAAACCCACAGGCTGTGATGGCTTTGATGCATCAAGAGGTTCTGATCAAGCTGGCAGATGCCACTGTGAGCCTCTTAGTCTCTGAACTATCATGGTGACTGGGTGAGGTGCCTGAGGACTGGAGCAAAGCAAATTTCACTCCTATCTTAAAGACAGGCAAGTAAGAGGAGGACCTAGGGAACTATAGGCTGGTCAGCTTGCTCTGATCCCTGGGAAAGTGAGGAAATTATTGTTAACTATTTTTAGGCACTATTAAAGACAAGAAAATCATCAACAGCAGTCAGCACTGGCTTCACAAAAGGGAAAACACGCTTCTCCAACTTGACAAACTTCAGTGCTGAAGTGTCTGGCATGGTGGATGACTGAAGCGTAGGGGAAATTGCCCACCTGGACTTCAAGTAAGACCACTGACACTGCCTCTCACAGGATGCTCAAAGATAAGTTGCTGATGCTCAGGCTGGATAAACAGAGAGTGAGGTGGAGTGAAAACTGTCTCAGTGAATGGGCTCAGAGGATGGTGATCAGTGGGAATTCTGGTGATTACACAACACTAGGAGAAGTGGCTGATACGCTAGGGAGCTGTGCTGCCATACAGAGTGACCTTAAAAAAATGGGACAAGTACCTCATAAAGAGGAAGTACAATGTCTTGCACCTGGGAAGGAACAGCCCCAGGAATCAGCACGCATTGGAGACCAGTCAGACAGAACACAGCTTTGCAGCAAAGGACCTGGGGTTCTGGTGGACCATGCGCCAGCAGTGTGCTCTTGTGGCAAAGAAAGCCAGTGGTGTTCTGGGCTACACTGAACAGAGAGCTGCCAGCAGGTCAAGGATTGTGATCCTTTGCCTTAACCCAGCACCAGTGACCAGTTTTCAGCTCCACACATGCACACACAGAAAAAATCTCAGTAAATGGTTACAAAGAGGAAGGGAGAAAGGCTGAGAAAGATGGAACTGTTCAGCCTGGAGAAGGGTAGGGTAATGGGGGACAGATCTTAGGAATATCCATGAATACCTGAAGGGAACCTGAAAGGATGATGGAGCCATGCAATGGCAGGAGACAGTGGGCATAAATTCAAATGCAGGAACTTCCTCATAAACATCAGGAACCACTGAAACATTTTTCACTGTGAGGATCACCAACCACAAGTTACCCAGAGATTTAACTGTGGAGTCACTATTAAAGAACTGGTCCTGTGTGGACATGGTCCTGAGCAACCAGCTGTACCACAGTCCTGCTTAAGATGACCTCCAGAGGTCCCTTTCAACCTCATTCAGACTGCGATTCCTGTCTGCAGATACCTACCATTGTAGTACTTGTCAATGCCTACATCTGAGAAAAATCAGCAGAAAAGTAAACTTATCTGCATCGTTCTGAACATAAAAATGGCAAAATTTACCAGATGAAAAAATATTTTGCTTATTCTTTGAAAAACTTTTGGGGGCAAAAAGCCTTTAAAATATAAATAATTCTGTCCTTGTACAGTTCCCTTACATCCCTAAAAATACATGTCTAAAATAAAACACATCTTCAGAAGGTGATACTCAAAGGACTACAAGCTCAGTATCTAAACATAAGTAATTGTCTGAAAGCCTGTAACCACAAATATTTAGAATCCATAATATTTTCCTCTTTACTAGTCTTGTAGCTCTTCAATATCCCAAAAAGGGTACAGTACCCAAACAATTTTAGGTGCAGGCACCTAAAATTTATCTGGCATTTGTGATAAAACCATTTATCTGGCATTTGTGATAAATGTGTACATTTATCACAAATGCCAGATTCAAAACTTAGCACAAACAGTAACAGTCATATTAAAGGATTAAAATATTGTCCTTTATCATCCTTTATCGTTGTTTGAAACAACGATACAGCAGCATTGCAGATTGATATATAAACAGAAAAGTTTTGTGGGATCTTTTTTTTTACACATATAACTCTTTCAGGATTTACCAGAGTAGCAGCTGTCAAGAATCACAAATTTAGGCTTTATGTGTGGGGTTCTAGAAATCACAACTGCAAACAAGGGCATGTCAAGTTTAAAAACCTGGGATCTGTGAACACTTAGTGTTAGGAACATATCACTGACATCCAGAGGTGCAAATCAGAACTGCAATACCAAGCCACCAAAAAAATAAAGTCATCCAAATGCAGAACTTCCAACGGTTGATGCTATGTTTGAAAGTTGCAGAGTCTAAGAAAAACTCAGAGAGACTGTAAAAATTTCAGGCTGTCACTGAGTTAAATAATACATCACAGTGCGACTGATTGTGAAGTAAACATGACCTGTGTTTTTATGAAAGATCATAACACTTTTGAATCCCCAAAAAGGTGAACAAACACCCTTCCACATCACCTCTTCACTCAAGTTCCTTATTAGGTTTGAAGAGTCATTCATTTTCTTCCACAGAATTCTTTGAAAATTAAGAAAACTAGAAGATTAGAATAGAGAACCTATTTATAACTAATTTCACACAATGCATTAGTGATGAGTAATCCACTTCAAGCATCACTTTTTATCTAGGGGTCTAGGGTAAAACAGTTAACCACAGAACAGCACGCTCCACGTCATTCTGCTAAACTGCTAACTCAGTTTCTCCTGTTCCCAAGGTCCATCAAGACAGTGAGAGTTAACATCTCCAATTAAAGTATTTCTGTTGAAACTTGTTGAAGAAGTGCATTTTAAACCACTGATGGTTAGGGATGGGGGAAAACCACCTCCTTTGACAAGAGTAGTTTAAAATAATTATAGAATTCTGCTGCATAAAATAAGAGATCCATTAAAATAGCTATTAGAAAACATAACAAACTATCTGCATGTCTTCCTCTCTCTTACAGTTACAAAAGACTGGCATAGCTGTAAGCTAGCAAAACAATTATACACTAATTATGAAAAGGGAGACACAGCTCGACAGAGTAACTGTGACAACTTTCTAAATTCTGTCTTACAGTATAACAATCTCCTAAACATGGAAGCCTTTGCATTAGAACAACAAACAAAAACTCTAAAAGAAGGAAGCAAGCTCATTATATCATGATACCCGTAAATCATAGAATTTTGATGTAATTCTCAAATATAGGTATTTTCTCTTCAAAGCATTTAAATGAATACATGCTTCAAGAAAGAAGAGAAAGACAATATTTCAGAAATGAGACTATTTAAAATATACTTCCACCATTAAAGCAAGTTCCGAGGCTTCTTACCACTTCTGTTGATGTTTCTGCATGCTCAGAAGTAACATGTTCTTGAAGAGATGTTTCCGTATAACCCATTTTCCCACAATAAGGACAAGTGAAAGACTGTGGCTGCTCTACAGAGAAAGCTTCTCCACCATAGTACAAATCTGAAACAGGAAGAAATTAAATTGAGGTTACTTTAAAGAATATCACCATTAATTTTGTTCACATCAACCTCAGTTTTTACATGTACTTCACTGTAAGCCCTGCTAAATTAAATTAGTTTTTTCATTGAATATTCAATGAAAATATTAATTGAATATTAAGGCTATATTCAGGAGGGGTTTAGTTACTGATAAAAAAAAAACAGAGACTACATTTAATTTTGATTAGCACACATAACTTAGTTTTCTAATATTTACTAGAAAAAAAGACTTCCATCATGATGCTGTTGATACTGGCAAACTTTCACTTTTCCATTACTGTTCTTATCCCACATAGAGGGTCAACTATGGTATGATATTTTTTATGATGAAATTTCAAAAGCTGAACTCTTGACAAAACCTCAAATTCAGATCAAAATTTAGAAGGTCTTGGTGACACCAAATGTCAGTATTTATGCCATAGTTGAACCACTGCTTTGCAGTAAGTAGTTTCAGAAATGTCTCAATTATATAACATAGAAGTTTGATAATGGGAAAGGAATCTGAGTATCTGTTAAACACTGGCTTTAACTTTTAGGTGTAGTGAATGTGAGCACTTGTGCATCACTGATGAAAAGCAGGCACTTTTAAGCTGCTAACACAGAAGCTCCCCAAACTTCAGATGAAATTTTATTAAACCATGCAAGAAGACAACATTATTCTCTCTCATCCTCTACAGGTATTTTATATTTTACAGGAAACATGAATAAGCTTCTCATTCACATCATTATTAAAAACAAATCCTAAAAAACCAACCAAACAAGAAAACCTCTTAAATATCATATTGCTTAAAAACCTCTACCTATGAAACACACCGAGAATGAACCTATATATTTTCAAGTAAGGCAACAGCACCAACTCCAGCTTCACACCTGAGCAAAAGGCTCAGGGCCGCAGCCCATCTGAAGAGAGTTGTAAATAGATGAGCATGCACATAGAGGTATCTTTTCCTTGGATACACTGTTAGCTCAATCCAGATTATCAAGAATCTTAGCAGTACCCACAGTTCTATCACAGAGGGGGGAGGTCTGACAAGACTGTCAAATTCTGTCTTGTTCCTTGTTTTCAAAGAATACAAAAAAACCCATTTATTCACTAATGAAATAAAAATCTGAGTTCTCTGCAGTCTCCTGATTATACCTCTGGCATGTTCTCCAACTCATACCTCCTTCCACATCCTCTTGTAATATACATCAAACATACATGAGAATGCCAAACAAATATGACTTTGTCTGGAAAAAGAAATATTAAGAAGCATGTAGAAGTTAAAGCTGGCAAATCTAGATATTTTTCCTTTTAAGTATACACCTCCCTTTTTATTTCCTTTTCAACTTTAATCTCTCTTACAACCAAAAGCTCTTTTCTAATGTGAAATACAGATCACCAGATAAAATTTCCTTTAAATGAAAATCTAAGTTAAAAAAATAAGGTTGGTTATCAAGTGGTCGCATGAATCTTTGTGTCTGATTTTAGCACTGAATGGGTATTTCTCCACATGTTCTTTCTACAAGCACATAAAAAATCCTACAATTATGAACAGTCATGTCCCCGACTACCAAGGGGTCCTTTGCTAATGAAGTTAACTAAGAATTAGAGGCAATATGGGAAGAAACAGAAACACCATGCTTCCCTGGCTGCAGCTACAACTGTGTTACCATTCTTCATTTACAAATCTATCAGTTTAGAATGCAATGTGCCCATGATTGAAGAATTGTTTCTTTTGAACACAAAGAAATCTTTCAGATTCTGAAATTTTGGTTCATTTCAAAGACAAAAGCAGGAGTCCATAATTCTTCAAACTCCTCTAGACCTCTAAAGCCCTCTGTTCAAGATGTCTAGGAAGACAAGTAAAAGTATTTAGTAAAGAAGTAAAACCAGATTCAGTTGCATCCCTCTAGGCTAAGATTCGTGACCTATATTCCTTATCAATTAAGGGAGGAATAAAAAGGAGCAGAAGGATCACAACACTGTCTGATGAGGACCCAATAGTAGTTTATGAAGTCAGTTTTCAAGCACAGCAGTGTTTAGACATTATAGCTTCTTCCTGGTGGGGAAAAAACTCCAAGAAACAACCTGAATTAAATGTGAAAATACAACCAAAAACATCAGCAGTTGTGCTTTTCTATCCATCTATAGCTACAAAAGTTAAATGAATACTTAATATTAAAATCTAACTAGCGCATTCTTAAAATTAGTAGGAGGTTAGTGACAAAACAAATATCACAGAATTTCTTAGATAAAAATCAATCTTTCAAAGAGACATCTGATTCAGGATTACATTTTCTAACAGCTTGTATTTTTTGTTAAGACATAATTCTTTACTACAGTACACAGCAGTATGGAATTGCAGTTTCACTTTTCTTCATATAAGTAATATAATTTCAATGTGATATATATATAGAGAGATAAAAATGTTGGTATGATACAAGTATAGTGTAGTTATTTAATCTTCTTCAAAGTCTGAAGAAACCAAATGGTGGCAACACACCATTTAACAAAACAAAGTATGTATGTTCTTGTATCATTTATCAAGCAGCCATATTACCCTCAAAGCTGCTTCAGAGTCTTGATCCAAAAAAATGACAATGCTCAGACTTAGCATGACACACATTTAGCACGCATATCTTGCTCCAGTGTGTGAAAAAAAAAAAACTCCAAATCAAAAAACCCACAAAAATCTCAAGCTGAATTCTGGTGAATCCAGTCAATCCCACACTACATATTATTATGGTACCCATTATTTAATCAGTTCCCTCTGCCTAGGGAACAAAGGTGGCAGGATCTGTCTGTTGGGCACAAAAGGTGGCAGGATCTTCTGTCACATATGCACCTTAGCTGACAAGTGAAGGCACTTGTGAACCATGGTGGGTTCTGTATACTTTGATGAAAGTAACACAATACAATTTCTGGCAGAGAATCCTACTAACCAATTTGTATTACTTTCTTTGTCAGTGTAGCCACTTTAAATGATGTGGTAATGGGCAAGCCACAAGCTTAGACCCTAAAGCATCCCAACAATTTAAAATGCTTTTTTAAGAAAAAGGAAACTAGGACATTTGCTGTGAACTTCTCCACTGTCCTGACAAATTGATCTACAAAGACCAGAGAAGTACAAGTGTCTGCCTGGTAAGCACATGCCTGTTCTTTACACAGGCCTATAACAATTCTACTCTTGACTCTACAGTTTGACCTTCCTGAAATAAGACTCTAGTTTGACCCCTCTGAAATAAACTAATTGGATTTGTGCTTTAAAGACCACTTCTCATTACATATTAGACTTGATACTTTATTTTAAGCTCTGTCCCTCTTACAGCAGCGTATCACTCAGCATATAATTTTTTCCAGTATCTCTTGTGGGGGCTGAGGAACAACAGCACTGCCATTGTTCTGGACCCCATCTTGCTTAAAAATGAATACATATAGGTTATATACTGACTCCTGAAAGATAATTATGGCAACCAGATGGTGCAAGAGTGAACATACACAGCCAGAAAATACTGGAGTTCTTTACTTGTTTTCAGTGTTCTCATATTGGCTCCAAAATAGCCTGAATCTCAGGGAAAAAAAATCAAAATGTGTCAAGCTGACAACAAAAGCTCTTTCAGCATACCTGAAAAAGTCCATCTTCTTGCAGTATATTCTGCAACATTATTACAGTACCTAGGAACTCTAAGAACTGATCGCAACTTTCACAGAGGTAAACAGCATGTGACTTTTTCTATGCTGAAAGGATCATCTGTGCTGGCAGCTGTCCACCACAAACAATTTGGTTGCAGCTTCAGGCAGACTACTTAAGTGAACTCCACTGATACCCACACCTAGACAGTGCTGGCTGGAGTGGTGGTGGGATTTAATGGTACAGGGCCCTTATCATCATAGCAGATGGATTTTGGGCAAATGATTCACCGATCTTCTCGCGCACTTTTAAAATCAGAAAAATGACAGTGACTTCCTTTGAAGTGCTTGCATCAGAAGGATTCCCCATTTTGCTTCCTTTTCATTGATAAAATACTAATTTTTCACTAGCTGTCCATTTTCCTCCATATCATAAGCAAAAACTGCAAGTTTATTGCTATTAAAATATTTTCATATTGAAACAAACCTGTCTACAGATGACAGTATTGAAGTTTGTCACTAGCCAAGTAAACCACAATTCACACACCCAGTTACACTAACAGCCTTCCAGTTTGTGTTTCTAGTAACATCTTCCTTACTTAAGAACATTCCCTACTCATACTGTCATTACTGCAAACGCTCTTTTTTCATTTGACTTCCCACATCACCTGGAAACTACTGGAGACTTTATTAGTTCTGGGCTTGTTTCAGCTGGGATACAGTTAATTTTTCTTCACAGTGTGAAGTATGAGGCTATCTTTTGGATTTGTGTTGAACACAGGGCTGACAATATCAAGATGTTTTTGTTACTGCTGAGCAGGGCTTATACAGAGCCAAGGCCTTTTCTGCTTTTTGCACTGCTACAATAATGAGGAAGTTGGGATGCATGGGAGACTGGGAGGAGACATAGTCAGGAGAGGTCACCCCAACTGACCAAAGGGAGATTCTGGACCATAATGATACCAAAGTTCAGGATATAATGTATATGAAGGGGGAAAGAAGGAGGAAGAGGGCATATTTGAAGTGATGCTGTTTGTCCTCCCAAGTCACCACGAAGCATGATGAGACCCTGCTCTCCAGAGATTTCTGACTACCCGTCTTCCTTGTTTTGCTTTGCTTGCATGCACCATTTTCGCTTTCCCTATTAAACTGTCTGTCTCAAGACAAGACTTTTCAGCTTTTACCCTTCCAGTTCTCTCCCTGATTCTGCTGGTGGAGAATGAGCAAGTGGCTGTGTGGGGCTTGGCTGCTGGCTGGGAATAAACCACTTAGTTGCAAATTTTACCCTTGAGATTATTTTCTTCTCAGACATTAATATCTAACCTTGGCGATTTTTAATATCCACTAAT